ATTATAGATGCCAATGCAATGTTTTTTGTGAAGAATTTTCTTCTGTACTTCTCCATTGAGAGCTGTAATTGTAATTGTTCTATGTAAACTACTCAGTTTGCAGTCTAACATTAGCTTTAAAGTAATAGGTCTAGGGAAGGAATCATAGAACAAATGATAATTTATAAATATTTTATAAGCTAAGAAAGTACAATCAAAATGGACTATTTCTTTATTTCGGCTCAAAAATGAAATTCAATTTTTAACAATTCTAAAATTGTTATATAAAGGACACCTTTTATCATCATAGATCTTCAGCATTCTTATGGCTGAAGCTCCTACTTTCATGACTTACAAAGGCTTTCAGTTAGACATTTTTAGGTATTTCTGTTAGCATTTTCTCTTGTAATTCTTTAATTAGCCCAATTATATCTGTCATTAAAGAGTGAACTTCATAATGGTCTTAACTCTAATGAATTTATGTCCTAGTTCATATGAAGTATGTAAGTAAATGTCTATTGAAAGAAATATAAATAATGATGTTTTTCATTACTCAATTATTACATTTTAAATTACAATGAAAGAATAAATTTGAGAATCAACAACAAATTTAACAAAAAAGCTTGAAAAGTAGTGCCCAAGAGTATACTGGTTCTGTCTCTTTCTTTTCTTAAGCACAGTGTTCAACTGTCTGTGTTTGAGTTATTTTTACATTGCAGGATACTTTAAACAATTGCAATATATTTAGGACTTGAAGATTGATTTGGAATTGGCATGCAATACTTTGTCAAAACAAATCTTAGAAACCTCAGGAATAGCAAAGGCTCTGTACTACATTTTACTCTTTACAGGGGATAAAGGATGTTAATTCATGTGTTCATGATATATATTCAAATTTCTAAAATATTATATAGTTTTGCAGGTACCAGGAGGATAGAGAAATGGACATGTTGACCTAACAAGGCATTCAGTTCTTATGGATTTTAAAAGATTCTAGGGAATCTGCTAAGGGATGTAAAATTATATGCAATTATTGGCAAATTAGATTTTGATACTTATGTAAAGGCTAGATACTATTGTTGCTCTGTAGGAGTTTTTTTCCCCTTTTTTCAGATATGGGAACCCACTGTTGACCCCCACTCTAAGAGAAGACAGGATATTCTTGATTCTATTCTTGACCAAGGGAAATTACATAGAAGGATTCAATAATCTTCATTTTTGTTCCAGCATAGAAATTTTTTCTCACCTCTGTGTTTTCTTTTTTAATATATCTGACAAAGTATCTAAATCATGTTTACTTAGAGGAGGCAAATACTAAAGAAATGGCCAGTTTATTATAAAAATTACAACCATAATCTGAGCTCCAGAGAAACAGTTTAGCAGAGAAGAGAATCTTAAATTCAAAGAAAATGATTGATTCAAATTAGTTGCTTTCCACTAATGTTCACATTCAACTGCATAAGAATCACATTGAATCCTCTTTCTTTTTTCTAGCATCTGAGACTTATTCATTCTCCTATTTCTTCTCTTCCTTACCTTTACCTCACCAAATCAGAACTTTGTTTACCAGTGTTACCTTTATTTCTCAAAAATATTTTTGTCATTATTCAAAGTCATTTATAATTTGAATGTATATTTTTCAGCTTTAATATATCTAACTGAAGCAGAAGATAATTATTTTCTTTATAAGTATACCTGTGTATAAACTAACTCAAACATCAGCAAAATTATCATAAAAATAATGGACTAAACTCAAGGCCTAATGAGTATATGCTAGGTCTTTGAGGAACCCAAATGCTGCCATGTCAGGTTTTTGTTCTTTAAATAAATAACAGTGTTTTATTAGAAAATGACACATGTTATATAGTCATTCTACTTTTGTCCTACTAAAAATTTGTGTACGTAATGAAGATAATATTAATATTGGCATTTTGTTGATTTCTAATAGTATTCCTATAATTTTTCATAATACTTTTAAAAAGTTTATGTGTTCAAATTCTGCAAATGAAAGATTATTTTAAAAAGGAGCTTTTCAGTTTTCTAACAGTTATTTATTATACAGAAAATTTATTATCCAGAGAAAATATAGCATTAGATTTTGAAAATGTTGATGATTTGGAGGTTTGGAGTAGTATTTTCAGTACCAAGCCATCATTCTAAAATCAGTTTCCTTGGTCATATCACATAATCCAACAAATACTTAATGACTATAAAATATGATTTCCAATGTGGGCAGTATTTCTAACACTGAATATTAATTTCCTTTGGATCTCAAAAGTCATTGACAAGGATTTTCATTTTTTCCTATTACTAAAGACCATATTTAGATACCAAGAATCTATGTTGATTAAAGATATCTCAAGTGCATGTTTGTAAATTATTATCTTAATTTAAATGTTTCCTTAAAATTTTATAAGCTTGGAAAATGTTCTTTCTCTAAATTTGATTTAGAATTCCTAAAGGTTCTCAAGGTGCTAATTCTCTTCACTTTTGGTTTAAGGAATATTTAAACTATTCTGTCTGATGTTTATAAAATATTGCTTCATTTTGGTAGGTTTAAATATTTTGATATTATTAAATGATAAATTACTTAACCACAAAAGTGATTTTCACACAGTCTGTTTTGCTCATAGAGAATTTTGCATAACTTTGTTTTATTTTATTTTATTTTTTTAAAGATAGAGTGAGAGAGGAGAGAGAGAGAGAGAGAGAGAGAGAGAGAGAGAGAGAGAGATTTTAATATTTATTTTTTAGTTCTCGGCAGACACAACATCTTTGTTGGTATGTGGTGCTGAGGATCGAACCTGGGCCACACGCATGCCAGGCGAGCGCGCTACCGCTTGAGCCACATCCCCAGCCTTGTTTTATTTTAAATAGTTTTAATTTATAATTTTTTTATATTCATCTAAAGTCTCCTGCATGGAATTATTGCAAATTTAAAAGAAATAAAGACTTCCTAGAAAAAGATAGATATTTGTTTCTCAATACTAAGAAATTTTTCATGTTTTATTTTTCTTTTTAAGTATGGAAACCTCTTGCTATACTTCATATAGCTCAAGAGAAATAACATTAGGCATATGATTATTATAAATTGTTGAGACTTTGTATTAGAGAAAGGCACAGGCTTGGGCTAGCAAAGTCTGGGAAATTCCTGGCTTGTCCCCTTTAATCAGGGAGCATTAACTTTCAGAGACATAATTTTCATAACTATGGAATATGCTAAATATGTTAATTGTCTCATTCTACTTACTTGCTCAAAATGATTTTTTCATTACTCAATTAGTACATTTTAAATCAGCTTATATTACATAAATAGGTTTATTATACACATTTCCTTCTATATTTGAACTTTGGAGTATGTTAAAAGTGGTTGGTAAAAATCAGATTGAATAAACATGTCTCTTCTGGATTTCAAGGTGCCCACTTTATAGTGTAATATCTTCTGCTTTTTAATGACATTTGACTTTAAGAAATTAAAGGGACAGATTGTGGACCTAGCTTGGATAAGTATATATCTAGCATGTAAGAGCTACTATTTAGATAGCAAAAAAAAAAATTAAAAAAAAGAAAATAAATTTAAATGAAGCAAAAATTTATCTATTATTTGATTTTAAACAATTTTTTTTTAATTGAGAGAGACTGTCCCTGAAGGTCTTAAAACTCTTGACTTTAATACAAGTAAAGAACTTTTTCATAACTTTTCTGCCAAGATGTTACCAATAAAATCTTAGTTGAATTTTCTGCTACAAAGTTTTCCTTTCTGATTTATAGAACTTGTAAATATGAATGAAAGTATTTTCAGGATTAATAGGGTTGGGATTCTAGCCACACCTTTTATTATGTGGTTGTAAAATCCAAACACATTTATTTTTATAGCTTTTTCAAAAAATAAAATCACTATTAAAATAAATCTAAACAATATACATAAAAAGAATACTTATATTTTTATGTAGTTTAAGGGTTTTTTCATGGATAAATAAGAACTCCATTGAGTATTCAGAATATGAATATAGATATTCTTTAAATTTTCTATATGTAGTCAGCTTCTACTCATGTATGAACACTTATATATGTGCATTTGAATAGGAACAGAAATATAAACTCATTGTTGACTAAATGCATGAATGATTACCATATTTTTCTAGATTTTAGTCATTGATGTTATTTGATAGGTGGATAAAAATGTGATTGGACATAATGTAAAATTTAGAATGAATCAGATTTACCTAAAAGCATGAATTCTGTTTGTCATATAAATGCTGAATTTGTTGCATGAATATGTAAAAATGCATGTGTTATATACCTCCTGTTTTTCTCTATTTTCTTTTTAACACATTATTTTGGCATACTCTAGGTTTTCTTCCTATTTTATATTTCTTTCTACATTACATATTGTTCTCCAAGATTACGAAAATAAGCATGAAATTCAAATTAAAATAGTTTAATGGTCTAAGTAGACAAAACTAAAAGTTATGATGCATTATGTATACATTCATAAATTAAATATTTATTTCATACTAATTTTTATCTTTATTCATGACTATATACACTGAACAATATTCTCTCTGTCTTGTAGTAGTTTTCAAAATAAATAACTATGTGAAGAAAACCAAATATAAATTTTTCACTCTGTGTTATGATGTTCTGAGTTGAAGTACATAATTCAATGTATTTTGCTTCACAATAGCAATAATCAGAGAGACCACAGAAAGTTCTTGAGGGAAATATTTGGGATATGAAAATCAAGAGCACATTAGGAAAATAGTTTGCAGTAGTGTATTTCAGATAGGGAATAGCATATGTAAAGTTACTTTGGTCAAATTTTGAATCCATTCTTATGATTTCAAAAGCTAGTTAAATACTTTTTACAATAAAACTTTATACAAATACAAACATGCTTGAATATTTATTTCTGAAATGTATTATTTTTGTTCTCTCAGTATGAATATTACTGCCCTTACGATGACTGATACCTTCTGTGTTTAGTTATATGTTACCATAAGTCTACAATTCAATTTCAGCTTCCTGTTCTGGACTGAATGGGGACAGATGCCCTGCATTGGAAAGGCTCGCTTAGATGGCTCAGACAAAGTTGTTCTTGTAAGCATGGGGATAGTGTGGCCGAATGGCATCTCCATTGACTATGAGGTCTGTTGGATTTATTTTAAGTATTTAAAGTGTACTAACTGCCAACTTGCATTATTCCAAAACTTTAGTGTTCCATTATTTTCTTAATGAAATCACCAAAACCTCCTTGTAATATTACTCTTCAATCGATCTTTAGGAAAATAAATTGTACTGGTGCGATGCTCGCACAGACAAGATAGAGAGAATTGACCTTGAAACCGGAGGCCATCGTGAGATGGTGCTGTCGGGGAACAACGTGGATATGTTTTCAGTTGCGGTCTTTGGGGCTTACATCTACTGGTCTGACAGGTAATTTTTTTTTTTTTTCATAAACATTTGAGTCTCAGAATGTTATTTCAGTGCCAGATGCTTTACCCTGGTAGGATTAGCCATACCTTAACAAGGTCACAAAAAGGCTCTTGCAAAGCCGTGTAATTTCCACAGCAAAGGCAGGCGCTCTTCCCATCCCAGGCTTGAGCATTAAAAATCACAGGCTGAAGTGGGTTTCTTTCCCTTCTGTTGGGCCATCTGTTACCTTCAGTTTAAACTAACTGGCTGGCTTTTAATGAAAAGTTGAAGAATGTTGATCATGTATGTTCCACTTTTTGGCAGGGCACATGCCAACGGGTCAGTCAGAAGGGGTCACAAGAATGATGCCACCGAGACTGTCACCATGAGAACTGGCCTTGGAGTCAACCTGAAGGAGATTAAAATCTTTAACCGAGTAAGAGAGAAAGGTCAGCACCTTTAAAGGAATACACAAATCAATACATTTTATTCCTCTCTTATTTTAAAACTTTTGTCACATGAAGATTAAGGATAAATTCTTATTTGAGTCAAAATCACAATTTTTTTTTACATCTAATTTTCTACAGAATCATATAATAGTTTAAAGAAATGCATAACACTTCATGCATGGGCATACTTGTCTGGGACAGCATGTGAACACAGATATGTCACATACCTTGCATGTCTTGAGTATTGATTTGGGTTAAGAAATATAAACACTCTATAAGTATACAAAAACACATAATTAAGATATTAGAGAATTAAAAGCCACTGAAATTGATTTTTTTTCATTATCTCTTAATATAAAATGTGGTTCTTTCTCCAGAAATGATTTTTTAGTCTATTTGTGAAGTCATCACATCCTTAAAATGTGTATTTTGAAAGTAATAGAATAACAAATTTGAGTATTTAAAAAAAGTGACCACTGTTAAAATAAATTATAATTGATTTTCTTTTCATACAGAGGGTTTCATGTATTAATTTTGCAGATGATAATCAGTTCCTAGGGATGAATTACCTTAATGAAGAAAACCTAGGAGCATATTTTATCTTCACTAAAACTGAAGTAGATTCTGCCCTATATTAGAAGTTACGTACTGGAGGTGGGGGGGCAGGGTTTCAAGCAGTGCTTTTTTTTTTTCCAGTTCATTTTTTAGTGACTTTGTTATTTTTGCCAAAGATTAAAATATGATAAAACCTATGGTAATGTTTGTATCAAGTTTCAGAAAAAATGTACACACTTAACTGGCAATCAGAGTATTGTAGGAGAACTTTAATGCTGTTATTTAGATTGTGAAGGAAGTAGAATAATGTGGTCATTCAAATAGAATTTCAAGATTTTGAACTTATGTGATTTAAAAAATTAATACTTTCTATTGTTTGCCTTTTATTAACTAATCTTAATTAAAACTAAGATTAAAAAGATACAATAAACATTAAGCTTTAACATTAAATTTTTAATATATCTATAAGTAAAAACTTATTTGTTAAACAAAAACATAAATGTGTTTATGTGTGTGTATGTGTACGGTATGTATATGTGTGTGTGTGTGTGTGTGTGTGTGTATGTATTTTTTCTTCCTTAGGGACCAATGTTTGTGCGAAGGACAATGGTGGCTGTAAGCAACTCTGTCTTTATCGAGGAAATTCCCGGAGAACTTGTGCTTGTGCCCACGGATACTTGGCAGAGGATGGAGTTACTTGCCTACGGCATGAAGGCTATTTGCTGTATTCAGGGAGAACAATATTAAAAAGTATACATCTTTCTGATGAAACCAATTTAAATTCCCCAATAAGGCCATATGAGAATCCACATTATTTCAAGAATGTCATAGCCTTGGCTTTTGACTATAATCAAAGAAGGAAAGGTACCAACCGAATCTTTTACAGTGATGCACACTTTGGAAATATACAGCTTATTAAAGATAACTGGGAAGACAGACAAGTAATTGTTGAAAGTAAGTACAACAATTTAATTTTAAGTAGTTTAGTAGAAATGAGTATCGTTCGTATTATTAGAGAAATAATAGTGGTAATTGCGCGTAGCAATTTCATTTTCCTAGAGTTTATATAAAAAAATGAATGTGACTATATCATCCAATCCCCCAAAATGTCAAAGAAGCAATTAACTGCTAGCATGTACAGCATGTATATTATGACTGTTAACTTCTAATCTTTAGATATTCAAGGTCTCATCACCATGTTTTTTTGCAGTTAAGCATTAGAACTTTTGGGGAAATTCTTTCAGTATAAAACTATTTTAAATGATTTTCTTCCAATGCATGTAATGATATCTTTAAAAACAGCTGCCTAATGATTTCCAGTTAATCATATTTTCTTAAATGTCAATTATTTTCTATATATGTATGTATGAATGTTTAGATAGACCTTTGTATTTAAACATAATAGTATCGATGTGAAAATATTACTATAGAAATAATTTAATGCTTTTAATATCTTATGGGACATAATTATATAATCATCAGTCAGTGTAGATTATTCACAGAATTGAGAGAAATCTCTTTCTTGTCCTCATATATCAGCATAAGGACCATCATCTTCTTGTAGCACCTTTTCTCCTCTATGTCTATATAAATTCCATATTATATATGAATATGTTATATATATATATACATACATGTATTTCTCTTTATGTGTCACCATACTGAGATCATTTTTTTCTTTACTTTTAAATTGCAAAAAGTATATAGAAGTTTCAAGTCATATGGAATTAAGTATAAAATTTCTGCCTTACTACTGCAATTATCAGTCCCATTTATGCATCCATAACTGACAACTGTCATTGCTTCTAAAATTTTCTTTATGTATGTGTGCATATAATTTATAATTTCAAAAGTAGGATGTTACTAGATGTGTTAGCTACTTACCTTTTTCCCAATAACCATATATTGCAAAGCTTTCATTTTGGTATATATAGTTTCATCTTACTCTTTTGAAAGGCAGCACTTCATTCTATACTCAGGATAAACTCTATATTTAATAATTTTATGAATATTGTTTCTGGTATCTTACCATTCCACACAATGTCACAATGAACATATGTATGTAGAATTATGTTTAATCACACATGTGACTATTTTCTTAGCATAGAAATCTAGAAGTTAATCACAAAGTCAGTCAATGGGTTTTTTATTTCTTATAGACTGTCAAACAAAAGGCCCTATAAATTTATATTTTAACCAATTTTCTATGAAAAGGCTCATTATCCTACACTTTTGCCAATAATGATTTTATGATTTTTGTTAAGGAAATATAATATGCAAAATTATTACCTTCTATTAATATACATTTACCTGATAGGTAATAAGACACAGCATCTAGTTGTATATTTACACATATCAAAATAATTTTTTAGGCCAAATGTGATATTATACATTGCCATTCCATGCTAATGCTTGCCATTGTTCATTTTGAATTTCCAGCCTGTAATATCTTCACAATTCTTTTTGCTTATCCCAATGCTATTTAGACTGAAAATCAGATCAAGTATATTCTTTAAAAATAAATATTCACATTTTTCTCATATAGGTTAAAATATTTATTGATAATTTCATATCCGTTTATATTTTATGGCACAGCAAATTGTTTCTCTGTATGCATATGTGTATATATGTCCATCTGTATCAAAATCCTCACTGACTGTACTGATCATGGAATTCATGCATATTTGAGATTCACTGATTTTTAGGGTGTATGTCCGTGAAATTTTCATTATAATATCTTTGGTCCTTTATTTGCCCAGACCTATGCAATTCACAGCTGGAAGTGTTCACGTTGTAACCACACATAGGAACTAACTTACTCATCCATTTTCTGCATTCCACACCCTTTGTCAGCATGATGGTTATCAAGATGAGTATCAGTCCATAGACCTTTAGAAGCCACAGTTTAGAGAAGAAAACATCAAGTAAACAATCACTGAAATATAAGATCTACAAGATACTAGTGGCCTTTAGAGAATTAAAAAGTCTTCCCGCAGAAGGATGGAGAATTTCATGAGTGTTTTAAAGATGAAGCTGTACAAAGCTAACTTGAATGAATTTAAAGGATGAATAGGAACCTGTCAGGTGGTAAAGAAAAAAGGAAAACCTGTGATTCTCAAACTATGGATCTTTGAGCACCTGCAATATACTGTCAGTACATCTAAGAGATCAAAAATATTTTCATAGTAATTAAATATCATTTGACTAGTTTTTACCATGTTGACATTTGCATGGATGATTTAATGACAATGTGGCTAAACTGTGGCCCTTTCATGTTAGTCAACACAGTGGCTTCAAACTATTTTAGAGATCATTGGATTTTTCACGGTCACTTGGCAAGGAAAAAAAGTACCAATTTTGCTTGAAAGAAAGGTAAAAAAAATATATATATGATTCTTTTAATTTTGACCCTTCAGTTGAGATTTCTTTAATATTCTGTATGATGTAAGATGAAAGATACATAAGGCACTTACATTATATTCTGAAGAAAACTATATTCAAATGATTGTTTGGGCTCATGCTTTCTTCAAGGAATATCAGGTTTTACTTGAAAGAATGAAGAACAGACAAACTAGTTATGCAAATCAAGATGTGTGGCAGAAGTGTTCTAAGGAATACACAATGAGAATATCATTTCAAGGAGAATGATAAATAGTATTTTATTCAAATAAGGAAAATTAAGTTTTCAAGTAAATATTATCTTTTGGAAGACTTTTATTCACCACAGTAACCTTTATGTTTCCCTAATACTTTCTGGTCTTCACTGATGAGATGGATTATGATAAAAATTAACGTGACTTTTGGGTACTGCATAGAAATGTGTCAACCATTAGAAATGTACCTAAGTCAGGAAACCAGTATTTTCCTAACGACATGACAAAATCATGCAAGATAAATGATCCATTTGAATTCAATATAGACCAATGAATGTAAATGTAACAGATTGAAAAGTTCATCACTATGGTATCTGCAACTGACCTTTAAGTTTGACCACTTGTCATGTGTTGATGTAGTATAAAGGAAGAATACTAGAGTTACTTGAAAAGGCTATGAAAATATCTACTCCTTTTCTAACTATATTGCTGCCTGAGGCTGGATTTTCTTCATGTAATTCACCAAATGACAGAAATGAGAGGATGAAGAAGTTATGAGGAACCAGCTAGATTTCATAGATTCACACAATTATAAAATAATGTTCTATATGCACTTTTTAAAAGTATAGCTTTTAGATGATTTTATATTCATACACAAATCGATTCATTATTCTAAGTTTTACAAAAATTGGTAAACCATCAACATATTTTCAATATGAATTTCTAGTATGATAAATAAGTATAGATAAAATCCACAGATACAAAATCTCTCTGGAATCTTTAAGAATGTTTAGGAATATAAAGATCTTCAGGTCAAAAAGATTAAAAACTACTCCCCTAGACAAAGAAGTCAGAAAGTTTTAGTATGAAGGAATGAAAAAGCAAATGTTATGCAAGGAGTCTTTTAGTTTTATTAAAATACAGGTTGTATGCATGAATGGGTGTGAGATGAATCGGGGTGGGGAGATGGGCATGGGGACAGGTGTAGTAAGCATCCTGATATTGAAGGATTTGGTCTGTCAAAATAAAGAGCTTCTTAAAAAAAAAGTTTAATTGAGATATAGTTTACATGCCATATAATTCATAATTATTTGACATGTAAACTATATTGTATTACTCAATCTATTTTGTAATAATATGTTGTTTATTTTTAAATTGTGGTAAAATGTGTGTTTACAGAAATTTATGTATGAGTGTATATATACATATATATATATGTATATATACACACATATATATATATGACAAAATGAGAATATCACTTCAAGGAGAATTTAAACTATTTTTGAACATTCAACTTAGTGTATTCACAATGTTGTAAAACTGTCATCTTTGTTTCTGAAATGTTTTAGTTACTTCAAACAGAAATTCTTTTAAAATTAGTAATTCTCCATATTTCTCCTCCCTCAGTTCCTGGTAGCATCTAATATACATTTATTTCTGTCTAAGAAATTGCCGACATATTTCATATGAGCAGAATCCTAAATTATTTCTTCTTTTCATATGATTTACTTCACCTAACATTTTTGAAATATGTTGATGCTGTAGTATGTATTGGAACTTCAACTCTTTTTAAGGCTGAACAGTATTCCATTGTGTGCACATACTACATTTTGCTTCTTTATCTTTTTGTTCATGCTCACTGGGGTATTTTCTCATTTTAGTTCTTGTAAATAATGCTGTGATGAATATTGATGTACAATATCTAGGATAAAGAGTTTTAATTTTATTCAGTAGATGAAGGGAAATCAATAGAATAGTGTGAAGCATATGAATGTTTTGTAAAGATCTCTCTGCTGTATGTTTGATAAAGTTTAAGGGCCATATCTGAATTCAGAGATGGCCTAGGAAATTATACAGTATTTTATGTCCTGTTTTATCAGTGGTATATGTACAATCAAACTTTTCTAATCCTCTCATCCAGTATCAGATCAGTAAAATCAATCACCTTTTAATGATGGTAGGTGTTAACTTACAGGCATAGATGATAAATGAAAACCCAGTGGCTGAGAGTATGGAATCAGTCAATCTGGGATTCCAATTTGAATTCACTGTCTATTTTCTACATGCCACTAAGTATCATTTTTCCCACCAACAAAATGAAAAACTAACTTGTAATTTTTTTTCCTGTGGAGATTTTAAAAGAAAAGGTATAGAAAAAAACATACAAATAAGCATAATTTTACTTTAAAACTGTATACCACTGTATTTGTGGATCATTTAGGATAATCACATTTGCCGTAAATTATTTTTTACCACATACATTAGAGTAGTTAAATAATCAAAAATAATTACTATAATTATAGGTATGAGGTAATGGATTAAGGTCTGTCTGGAACTTAAAAATTAATTAAGATTAGT